AATTTGAAAAACTGATTTTTTTCTCATCCTCGCCAAAACTTAAAATAATGGAAACTAATCCCTTAAATAAGGCCCGTCGTAAACTAATGGTGCATACAAAAAAAAAAAAAAACAAATACAAAACATACAAAAAAATCTTAAACCCTATTCACCAAAAAAAAAAAAACCCTCGAACAAAATATATTTTTTTTTCGTATTCCGGCAACAACAATGTGGTCGTCATCACGTCTAACAAGAATCTTTGTTTAGCGTTGGCGACATTGTTATAAAAATATAAATACCAACCTGTTGTCTATTATTATAATATAGTTGGTAGGTACCTATACAATTAATAACGTTATCGTATTCATTCACATATTTTTTTAATGAGTATTTTCGTAATGTAATGTAGATACTCACTGCGTGTTGATATATTCAAAAATAAATAGAAAAATATATTTTATTCGAATAGATACATTTTGACAAACCAACTCTATTTAGTTTTTAATTACCGATATGAAATTACACGTTAATTTAGTAAAACTGACATGGCTAGGTGAAAAAGAATATTAGTGTTATTCAATTTTGTTAACCAAGTCGAATAAAAAATTAGATCCACAATTTAATTTACACAATAGTAAAATATTAAAGTTATGTTTTATTAAATTTTTGAAAATATACTACTCTTGAAATTTGGAACGAGATTTCAGATCAAAAATAAAACTGAAAACAATTGAAAACAATGAAACTTCTACTGTTGTAAATTTGTTCGTTTTTCCAATAAGTTTTTTCGTTTTTCCTCGCTTATCATGGAAACTACTTACTTGGAAAATTAGATGACCAATGAAATCCAATCAGATGATCAATCAGATTTAAAATGATACAAAAATTTATCTTGTCAATTTTTTGATTGGATCAAGATCTCTACGGTAGAAATATTATTTACAGACAGACAAACTCACCAAACAAATCACATACATTGTAAAACAAATGTATAAAATGTTTTAAAAGTTAATTTGATAAATTTAAATTACAAGTACAATTTTATCTTAACTTTTCGTTCTCTAATTCACTAGTTGATATCTGGCCTTAAATACCGAAACTATTATTATTATTGCTTATACGACTATGTATTTGAGACGATAATGTAATGCTTCATTTAAGAATTGTCATTACAAGAGTCGAATTATTAATATGATTAATTTGAACATGATTTAAATTATTACAACATAAAAGATTTATTATACATTATGTTTACTTGAGTTATGTGACTTGTGTGTTCGTGACACAATAACGAGTTTATTATACGCATTAAGATGCAGACTTTGAAGTATAATATGGAATTGGATTTTTTTTTTTTCGTTTATATAATATTAAAGCTGGTCTAGACTCAAAATTGAATAGCGCGAAAATAGAAATCAAAATGCGGTAGTTCTTTGTTATCAACGCAACGTTAACGCATATAATATGTGTGGAATATAATAAATGTATTATTAGTACATTCGTATATAACGTCTATTCGTCTATAAATTAAAACACAATTTAATATGTTATTTGAACCATTTTAGCCAGTTTCATGTTATATGGACCAATCGCAATAGTAATTAACTTTATTTGCACTTCATCGATTTCGAAAGTTTCGTTCCATAATATATTATCCAAGTTCAATTCAGAACATGATCGTTAAATAAATGTAGACATTAACGAGTTTCAAAAATTTCAAACGTCAAATTAATATTAACTTTTGAGCAAACTTTAATGGTTCGTTAATTTGACTTTTTTTGTACATTAATTTTGAATTCGATATGTAATGTTAAGTTGATTTCATTGTTTTTCAATTTGAATACAATATTAAATTTAAATTCATTAAACCGTTTTTTGATACCTTCGTGTAAACAATAACGTTTTTTCATTAAATTTAATGCAATTTTCAAATAAAAATTTAACTAAATTTAGGCAGATTATAAACATTTACATTATGGCAATATTATTTTTTTTAGAATAATTGAAATATTTATAAACGAAACATATTAATCTAATGTCACTATTCAGTGGATCTATACGGCTACTGTTGTATGATATTTAACCGGAATAGTATCATTAAGTTCTATATTTAAATACTATTTTTCAAATTACCCGGGTCACAAATAAAAGTATAGAATATCTTCCTAAGTTAAGTTTAAAAAGAATAAATCGGTATAATTTATACATTTAATTTCTCGATACTAAACATTTTGGTATCGATATAGACAAAAGTTTATTTTGAAACACCTAATAATATTTCGATCTTGTTTAATATAGGTATTTTATTATTTCTTGTACGATTTGTAATAAAAAAAATATTGCAACATTTTGGTCTATCAACTTACCAAAATATAACAAAAGGTAGGTAGTTAAAATATTAGCTTCGATAGCATAGTCAGGTTACATAATATACTATATAATTTATATTGTAAAAAAAGATAATTTATCAAGGTGTGAAGCATTTGTGTTGAGTTTGTGTCATAATTTCCGAGAAAAAAAAAACACGAAAACCAGTGCTAGATTTGACTAAAATATCTATTAAAAGTATTCAGAATAAGAATTTGAATACAAACAAACAATTGTTTCAAATTATTTTTGAAAAGTATACTGTAAAAATACCGCGAAGAAATTATTTTTATTTATTATTACTTTTATTTGTAACTTAACCTTAAACATATCAAAACTCATATGTTCACAAACGAGTGAATAGGTTTTAGAGTGTATAATAACATTTTGATATTTTTAAATATACATGTTATAATCAGTGGTACAAACAAAGGTTTTTTTCTGGAACAGTCTGGACAACCCCCCTCTTCTTTACATTGAACTTTTTTTTATAGAAAATTCATTCTATGTCAAATATCCTATTTATTATAAATAAGATGGTTTTTTATTAGGTCAACAATCCCCCCAAAAAATCCTTGTTACTCCACTACATAATATTATATCTTATTACTGAAATATGTTTTGAATGAAAAACGCTGTACAATTTGCACATTTGTCCGTACTGATTAGTGATTAATATCAATAATATTATTTTTAATCAATATGCATGTTATAATAAATGATAGGTGCAAACTTACTCATTTGCTGAGACTTTAAACAACGGTTAACAGTTTTAATTTATAACCAAAAAAGTAAACATTTTACTAATTATAAATTTAAATATACATTTTTTTCTCTGCCAACGAATTTTTCCACATTATTACTATTTTGTCCGAGAAATTCTGTTTTATTTTCGGTATTTCCCCTATGAGCACCCATGCTAATACACGTTATTTTTAAACAAAAAAAAATCTGTAGATATATTTTCATGTTTATAACAATGACTTGTATGATTTAGATTTTGTTTCTACATTCATCATAAAATTGATTGCGGACGAGCGAAACATAATAATAATAATAATAATAATATGCATTTTAGGTACGTAAATTCTAGGGAACCGTCTATGGTAGTGTAACCCACATCAGGGCATTTTTCACGTGGGAACGATTGTCCTCCGTTGCTCCCGTTGTTCCAACGCACCTGGATAAATTGGTTTAAAATTATTATTACTCAGATATTATATTTTTTTATCAATGTAGAGTTTTCGATAATGTTCAATTTTTAAAATAGAATTAAAAGAAAAAAAAAACAAATTATAATTTCTCAGAACCCCTTAACGGTCCATGTAAATGTATGTATGTTTAAATAATAAATACATAGCTATTTACATTATTATATATCTACGTGTTTTTAAGAAAATGTAATTAACTTTTTTTTTTATTCTCGACTAATTGAACAAGCTATTGGAAACGTAGACGGTCTTCAGAAATCAATTACTACGAAAAAGTATAAGTATTGTAGTTTTGTACAGGACATTATCACAATAGCCATTGTTCGATTGTTCGATCCATATTGCGTGAGGTTTTTTTCTGTGACTACCCTTTATGTTTGTTATAAAAAAAAATTCAGTTAAAATGTAATTAGGTGTACCGAAATAATAATTCATCGAATTAATTTGTTCGTTAATAAAAATGTATTAAGGGGTATAAGATTTGTCTTCGGTTTCGTAAAATCATAAATTTATTGTTAAAATTTTAATGATAAGACTTTTCCACTAATCTAATACCGGATATCCATTTAAGAGCTATCCCCATTTTACCTTATTTATTAAGGTAAAATAGCTATGTATGTCTACTAGTGTAGACATGTAGCTATTTGAGTTAGCTAGGTAAGTAAGGCTTACAGTAGGTAGTTAAATTTTAAAAATGAAGATTCACGTATGAATTTACTTTACGCAGATCTGAGCACTTTTCTAATTTGTCTAATTTTGTTGAATAATTTACAAGAATAAAACGTTTGAAATTTGAATTGATTTACAGTGGCCTTACGAGGATATGAATACGTGATTATTTTACTATACAAGCTTATAACGCGTATACGTGAATACGTAGGTTTTAGCGATATTTTACTTTTTTGACGAGGTATACACATTCTTAAATTGTGATATTTCACATAATCATTTCTCGTTTGAACACTAAAATATCAAAAAGCCAACGTACAGAGAGTAATAATATTCTTACTATATAAGTATAATAAGTATAACAATAGGTCAATTCACTCCTATATTTGAACTTACGGTAAAAAATTAGCCCTGTTGAATGCAAATTTGCTATGTTTTTCATTCGTTCGGAGGCTAAGAAATAATAATTTTAGCCTAACACATTTTAACAGACTTATAGGCAATTTTCACTATTAAATGATATAGCAGAGAATTTAATAATCTGACGAAACGTTTTATTTTTTTTTTTGAAACAAAATACATATAATATGTACATTGTATATACATATAGGAAAAATGCATATTCAAATAACTTATATAATACACTATTAAATCTTAAAATTCCACGAATTTATTCGTTTTTCAAAAATTGCTTTTAAAATAAAATTGAATCGTTTCCGAAAAAAAATAAATAACGTTCTCGATATAAAGTGAAAATCACACGTGTTCATTATGATTTTAGTCCGTGTGTTTTGTTCAAATTGTAAGATTGTATATTAAATCAATACACTTGCGACAATGATGAGGGAACCTTTTTTAAATTTACCTTTAAAACGAATTTTATGGTGCTTCAATTGATAAATGATCGTAATTTATTCTTAAACATTTCCTACATACAATCCCGTTATTATCTTAGATGAAGCGTCCTTAAAATCGTTTTATACGAAAACAAAAAAGTAATTTAGTTTGTTTTGGCTTAAATAAAAAAACATTAAGTGACACTAACATATTGTACTATGCATAGGTAGGTAAATAACATTGTATGTCCACCTCAATGCCCCGTCATTAAAAATACTTTCAAGCGTTTGATTGTGCTTAAGTCAAGATTTTTGTTGATTTATACTAACAGAAAACAACATCAACGTCGTCGTTGGTTATTAATGAAATCTGATAACTCTCCGAAATTTGAATGCTATACTATAGTGTTGAGTGGGTAATAAAATGTTAACAATTATACACAATATCTATTATGGTCACTGATTTCCCGCGGACAATGAAATATTACATAGGAACCCATATTATAATCTTTAAATGATATCAATATTTTGTGACACATCAAATTAATTCGTTGGTATGTTCTTTGATTTATAAACTGATTGTGGGCAAAAACAAGTTAAAAAATTATAAAGTTTTGTTGATTTAAATCGTATCTTAGATTTTATATTTTATATTCTGTAATTAACTTAACTAATATTTATATTTGTCTATAGACACTTAATTGACAAATCAGGAATACCACAATAAATTGTTTTCAATCGTTTTCAAATTTCAACCAGATATTAAATTTGCAAACTACGATATACTTGAATACCACTGGATAATTTCTACGGTTTTGTCCAGGGATTTGTTAGGGCAAGAGTCGGGTAGGAAGATTTTATATAATCTACACCAGTATTTGAAAACCTGTGTCTAATATTATTCGTATTAATTCTCAAAAAAATTAACTTTAGATTTAATTATTTTCACAAAGTTAATTAAACTTTAATTAATAATTCGATACAAATTGTCCAATTAACTTTTGAATTTACTTAATTAATTACCTAACATAAAAATATTATCTTTAACGCGTGTTAATTTGTTAACAATCTGAACTCAATTAAGTTAATATTATTCATTAACTTGCATAGCCTTGAAGTTTTGTACATTATTATTATGCGGTGTTATCATAACATAGCTAAACAATCGTCTGTCGAAGTTTATTTAAAAGTAATTCTCTACCGATATGTATGCCACACCGTATGGCAAAATAAAATAAATGGCGTGTGATTCGCAGCAAACAGCAGATTTATCAAAACTCTTTCCTAATCCTCTTAAATTTAAAACCATTTATGTTCAGCCTTTTAGATACCTATTCTTAAGAACTTCACGTCAACATAAGCGCACAGAGATAAAAATACAAGCAATGAAAAAATATTAAGTATGTATGGATTCATTCATAACCGTTCATAACCAGTCATGATTACGCGAGTCGAATATAAAACATATCACAATAATCAAACTATAGAATAAAAGACATTTTACAACAACCAACATATTAACTTGTTTGCAATATAAATAATTAATATAAAATAATAGCTTTAAATGTGGTATGTAGATATTTTTATATCGAAAAAACACTGAATAGTTACAGGGAATTTAATTTTTAAACAATCAAATTATTGTATAGATAGTCTTGATTAAAATAATATGGCATATAATATTAATAAATTTATAGTGAATAACACATATAATTATTACCGGATTTAAAAGAGTGTATTGCATTTATATATTATCATTATAACTTCTCCTTTCTAACCACTACTAACTAATCCTTAAATCTTACATTGAACTTACCTTTTCGCGTGATCATTGGCTCTTCCACGTATCTTCCTACATAAATAAAAGCAGATATTCCTCAAGGTGCAGTTACTTTTCCTCTAGGCACTCTTCAGCATCTTTATTTCCGACAAGTCGATTTAAATCGTAATTTGGTGACTTTGTGGATGACAAATTCATAATACCTATCACTTCAGACCATATTTCATTCTATTCTCATATCCGAAATCATCTTCATCGCCCCGAAACAAGGTACAAAATATGGAGAGCAAAAACGAACGAATCCGAGTCTATCCAATGCAACTTTACCTTTCGCCAAAGACTATGTCAAACACTTTTCTTCAAAAATCAGTATCTTCCTTTTTCAAACTGCTTTCGTTATCTTGATATCCATATCAATCGTTAGCTTATCTGTAAATATCACTGAATTAGTAAAACTCGCCCACTGAATGAACGTTTCTAGCTACTTTGACCACTTATGCACTCTAAACACATGGAAATTCCCATCGAACTCCTATTTCACAAACGAACGCTAAGAGCCATATGAATATATGGCATTCAACTTTGCGGCACTGCCAAGATTTCGAACGACATCTGTATACAAAAATTTCAATCTAAACCCTCTTTGTGCTATTTCAAAATCTTCATTCTATGCATTTATAGTTCACGATGTTAAGAGCAATTATTTAAAATATAATCGAAATTTCAAGTAACGATATAACGAAATTATAATATTTTCTTAATAATATTTAAATAAATGGTAACATTACATTTCAAATAACAGCTATGGTCTATATCTAAAATAACTTAATTAATCTAAAAATATCTGACAACAATTTGAAATTTGTATTTCATAAAACAATACATTTTATATTAATTATTGTTACCACATTCAATCATATCTGTACATTATGTGTATTGTATTTTTAATTAATTGCAAAAATGTAAAAAAAAAAAAAAAAAAAATAATGTTACGAAAATGTTGAATTTTCACGAACGGGGCTACGAACAATAACTATTTATACAATACTTCAACCGAAATTTGATTATATTAAAAGTTTTAGTTTTAATTTTATTCTGTAGGTATCTAAAAACAAAAAAAAAAAACAATAATCTACGACATGTTTTATATCAAAAGTTTTAGGACATATTATTAACTACGTTAATAAACGAAATTTTAATATAGTTTTAATATTAATTATACCGTTTAATTAAATGTCACTTAACGTAAATCAATTAAAAAGTTGACATACCTATACTCGCGGGAATATTTTATTTAAGGACGCCCTTTTAAACTAAACCCTATTAAACCGGTCGAGTTTTATAAATGTCGTGTCGTATTAATATTATATTTCAAATTAGTTTAGAATTATTGGCCGTCAAATGAGATGCTCTATTGAAAATCCTAAATCCGCAGTGTCTAGTGAGATTTCCATCAATCAAACGGGTATAGGTGCATGATTAATGAGGCCGCGTGTACCGTGCACGCGCGTCGGATGAGATGCGTTCTCAGTGTAAACTCTAGTCAGACTATAAACACTAATTTACATACTACGGATAGAATATCGCTGGAAATAGTTATTGATACGAAAAAATACACTACGGAATAAAGAAAGTACGGGGTTGCTGCCTACCCATACGGTTTACTGTTGTTGTATAATTTGCGTTGGTCAAAAATGTATTGTGTCACGTGACACAAACAATATAAAAAAAGTCATCATTAAAGATTTATATCACATTTTTTTTTTTACATTGCGTTATTGAACTTAAAACGCATTAAAAAAAAAAAAAAGTCTTTACTTCTGCAAAAATAAATAACGACACAGTTACACGTATATTTCTGCATAACGAAATTCTGTATTTGGTATTCTTTTGTTAGACTCCCGGATATTGTGGCATTGATGTGGAGGCGGTGTGGAAACGGAACAGCTATCAGGAAATGAAAACAGCTATCGCGGAATTCTGTTAAACGTCATATTAAAAGACCCGCGTATTTTCACATAATAAACTATCGCCTCAGCGTACATCACATTTGACAAATGGCTTCGAGAAAACGAAATCGATATCCTCTCGGGGTAACCAAAATAAAGTAATTACCATAATAAACAAAAAAAAATCCCGTCGTCAAATTAAAAATAGTATTATTAAATATCACCTATTTAGTATGTGCATTGGACGTGAAAATAAAACGCATTCGTAGAAATAACAATAAATTATATTTTTGATTCCGAGCGTAGCGAGGGAACGATTGGTCTTACAATGCTGTTTATTTTTATTTTTATTTTTCTGTGTTCTTTGTTCTTGTGTGTGGAAACCTTTTTTCCTTGTAAACTTGCACCGATATGTACGAATTGCAGTTTTTCTGAAAGCTTAAGTTGTCTGGATTGTACTTTAAAGAAGTTAATTTTTTTGATTTTCAACGCCAAATTTTTATTTTTTTTTAAATAAAAGCACTTGGTGGGAACAAACTTAGGAAAACGTACAATTTCACGATTTCATTATTTTATAATAACACGGACGACGTTTTCTATCAGAAAAACGATTTAATCGAAAAATCACAAAATACCCTTTTTGTTGCCTTTTCCATTCACTTTCTTACGGTATCATCGCCAAAACTTTTTAACTTTTAAGGAATTTTAGATTTAAGGAGTTTTTTACTATGATTCGGTTATCATTATACGTAGAGACTTGAAACTTGATAATAACGCTTATATTGGACTTATCTAGACGTGGTAAAATTGTCAAAATTATCGGACGACTATTTTTTTTTAATACGGTTTTTGAAATTAAATTTAAACGATATTCGCACAAAATAATTACGGCACTAAATCGCTTGGTAAAATTACAAATACTCATAGACGGAGAAGGTTTTTGTAAAAGAATTTAAAATTTAAGTCCGATTAGGTTCGGTTGGTAAACTTTTTTTTCCCGGAAGTTTCCAAAAAACGTTATTACATTTTTTTTTTAAAAAATTTTTCTATAACGGACAGAAATAGCAAACATCAAAGTCGTTTCTAATATATATATATATATAAATAAAAGTTAGTATATTAGTCTTTGGGCAAAATACCACACTGCACACGTGCTGAACACTAAAAGGCAAAAATTAATGATAAAAATCGATATAAATTTGTTTAAATTATGTTCGTTTTAAACATATTTTTCGGATGTAGGACGTATATTTTTGTCTTCGTATTACGGGCCATTAACTGAAATTCCAAATGAAAATCAGGTCAAATCGCTCTCCGAATTTTTACACATAAGCACGCTTGGCTTTGGAATTTTATATTTTTAATATCGTTAACAAGGTATAATAAGGTTATATAAGACCGTTTTACTCCGAAACCGAATTAAGAAATACACTTATATATTTTATCTTATGATGACGATGATGATGATGATGATGATGATGATGATGATGGAAACTAAATTTACAAGTTCATTAGTTCCGAAGGACCCTCTCTGCACCGAGTAGATCTCATCCATTATTTAACACTTTTTATAATGACTATAATTTCTAGAAAAAAATTCACGTCACGTATAAAGCTTATCAGCTTAAGTTTACGCTGATAAAAAACTAATAGAAAATAATTATTATAATAGATTCGAAAACTATTTACCCG